CAATCAGACCATTGAATTTGACATCTATAAAATCTATTTTCCGGAGTTACAAGAAGTAGTCGGATTGCCTCATGAAAGTCTGGTGGTCAAGAGATTTCAAATCCGAATTTTTTTACTACGGAGATAATCTTCCAATTATCCAATTATCACGGAAACTATTAATCCAATTTAACCAAAAGATTACGACAACCAGCCATTGTGCAGGACGTGCACGTGTCAATATCTTATTGAGATTTGGGTTTTACAAGCCGATACGAAATGATGAAAGATAATGGGCCTATCTGTACATCCAGAAGACAATGATGGCCCGACCAACAAACTTAACCGCCCAAACCCACCACGTCAAACGCCACGTAAGCCTTCCTTATCTTTACAAGTTGAACTTCTGTACCCGCTTAAATTTGGAGAATTGCTGAATCACCCCCGTACCAACACGAAATTTGACTTGTGCCCTCAAATAAACGGAGATGGCCGCGGGTTTTGAACGTTGACTTTTTAAATCAAAAAAGAACGTTGACTTGACTTCATTGGATAATTGGATTTTACCGAAGAGAATTGGCTTCGACTAAAACCGTTTCCAAGTCCGGATATAACGCAAACACTTAAAGAAAATATCAGCATGGTTATCTATCAAATGAAACGTTTGACTTATTAAACAATATCGTACCATTTTGATAGATCATCAGGTCATCTAATTAATGCAATGCAACATTTAAGAAGTTATTTGAATGTGTTCGCTTAATACGTGTTTGTAACCTAAGTCAATCTCACGTTTTCAAGCCACAGTTTATAGGAGATTAAATTTTTACTAATTAACTTTGTGAAATAAACATTTTTTAAGTGACGATTGCAATGAACTTTCAAAAATAAACATTTTTAAATGGGGATTGTGATATTCTTAAAAATCAAGGGGAATGGATGGTAACTTTGACAAGCCAAGGACCAGTCAAATAATAGAATCTCTTGCCCTAGAAGGTTTGGTAGTCGTTTGGTAAACCTCTTTGCCAACATGGAATTATAACATAAAAATTCTGACCTTGTGCAATTCATTGACATTCAAAACGAATCAATAGAAAATTTTGAGCACAGAAGAGTTGAACTTCCAAAAACCTACTAAAAAAATCCCAAAAGCAAAATATCTGATACGCATTGAAGTTGCACCGCAAAACAAAATCCTGGTGGGGTTAATGCAGATATCATGGGGAAATCCAGATCATAAATTGATATGCCTTCCCATTTGGAGAGCCATCAAATTTTAGATAATACTAATTATCCCGTCAATATGAGGATTTAATACCAAGATTAGCAACGAAATTCATAAAATTAAGACTGGGTTGAAATAAGTATACATAGAGAGATATTATCAGCTAAAAGTACTTCATCATGTAGTTTTGAACATGCACTTTGTGAGACCGTCAGATCAATCTAGTTAAACTTGATCTTGGCCTATGGATGATAGTCAAAACAGAAATATTTACATACAATTGGAATGTAACTATGTGAGCGGGTGACTTTTAAGTAAATTAGATACTGTCATGCGTTTTAATATTGTAACTGTGTGAGCGAAGAACTTCTAAGTAAATTAGATATTGTCATGAATTTTAATATTGTAACGTGATAACGTATAATTGACTTCTTATGATACTAGTGCGTTGATATTCCAAATTAATTAAACATTGTCATGCATTTTAAGTGATTTAAGGACAGTTCGTGATTTAGTTTGAAATACCGCAATCAAGTGTTTGTATGATGCGTGCAAGGCGTGATGAAACACACAGGATCAAACCCTAGGCGTCAACAAGGTCCAAAAGAGCCGACTCAAACTAATCCAAAAGTTGGTTTTTCTTCCACCAAACTTCCCTTTCCGTCCTCCCTTCCATCCTACGTCTCATAGCTTCCAATTTACTATATATACCCGCATACTCATCTGCCCTTTAGAATTACATACACACAAACATATAGATATACACCAAATAAAACAGGAAGAGGAAGAAGATGGAGAACAGGAACAGCAACAACAGCAGAAAGATGGAGGAGGGATTTGAGGAAGTGGGTTTTCCAGTTCACAGCCAAGTGAGGAAGATCAAGCAAGAATCCGAAAAAACGATCGACTGGTTGCCGGGAAAGCCGGAGATGAGAAGACCTGTCTTCAAAGAGATCACCAGGCAGATCTCTCGGTCTCCTCTCGGAATTTCTTGCAGGCCAATCTCTGTCGGCGACTCTTAAGATTTAGGAGTAGGAGGGCTTTGATTTCTTGGAACTGATGAGAGGAGATGATGGGGCTTTTGGGATGTTTTTTCGCATCTTTCTGCTCTTGCTCCCCTGTTTTTTTTTTGGCCTTTTTTGGACTTGGTACTTTTAGACGTGTTCTCTGTGTAAATATAATACATCTTCTTAGTTTATGATATGGCTGTTTTGCTCCCGGAAATGATTTCCATACTTTTCTTTTCTTCTTTGTGCTCTTTGTTTGTTTCTGTCTCATAATTTTTTTGGTTTGATTCAATCCAAAAATCATGTCGAAGAAGAAAATGTTGTCCGAAAATCAAACTTTTTCGGCTCCTATGGAATTTGGCTTTCTGGTTTTGATTGATTTCATATAATCCATCCGTCATCCATGATACGTTGGTTCTTGTCTTGCTGTTAGATATCGTTTTATCAAATATGAACCAAAAAGCCGGCTAATCATGATATGTTTCGACTTTTTTTTCTTCTTCTGTTTACAAGTCATAGAACCCTGAAGAACTTGAGTGTAACGGAACGCAACTTATCAAATCAATCACGAATCACGAAATGCTATATGTATCCCGAATAAGAGCGTAACAAAATGCAACTTAACAAGTTAATCACGAAAAGTTACATGCGAAACTTAAAATAAATGATTGTGTGGCGACTACATGAGGTATTGTGATGATACACATTAGCAATACAAAGTTCTCTATTGGTTTTACGTATGAATTAGTTCTTTGTATGAAGAGTCACGGTTGGTGTGTGTTTGTTGTTTTCCTACCAACCAAAGTTGGTGGTTTAAAAGGGATGCTATTACATGAGTTATCTGGAAAGTGTCGAAGGACTAATCTTTTGGCAAATCTCGATTGTTTGTATGTGTTATTATATATATATATATATATATATATCATTATATTTTACTTCGTTTTTAGTTGAAAAGGCAAGTTGTTGATATTTCTATGTTCTGATTGTTTTGGATTGAATGATCAAGGCTAAACAAGTCGCGTTCAGGGCCAGGACCCTTTCTTCCTATAAAGTATGAACCCTTTCATTCACATTGACTTAATAAATTATAAAAAATGGAATTCAATTATGCAAGAGTTTCTCATGAATATGCAAATTCACATTGACAATTTCCCATTCACAGTCAAAAGGAATGCACCATGGGAAGGATCGAAACAAAGCACTGGTGGACTACTAGTCCTTGTCATTAGTGATGCAATATTCAGTTACATTGGTAATCCCTAAAAAAATTAGCGTAGAAAAAAGTCAAAAAAAGGGCTAGTGTAGTTTGTGTATTCGTATTACTTCGTGTTTGACTATAACTCGATGGTTTAGAAACTCTTATGAATAAACGGACCACCGTTGTATTTAGATACTATTGGACTTCACATAAATACCACTTCTAATGCACACGGCCTGCTCTTTGTAAAAATAGCTTGATTAGCTGTGTAGTATTTCATGGCATGGTTATCTCTTACATCAAACAAAATCAACAAAGAATCAAGTGAGACCAAAATATTTGACTCTCATTTTCTTTTGAGAGCTCCCTTGTGAGGATGACAATGTATGGTCAGTAATTCAGTGTTCCTGCATACGTGTTTTTTCATTGAGATCAAGCCATTTCATGACTCATAATGATGTTTTGTCATGTACTCGAGGTTTTGTGTTGATTCATCCCTAACCAATATGGTTCGTGTTAAAAAATTGCATAATTTACTAATTTAGGTAGGGTCTCGTTTGGTATATAGGATTTGATTGGAATAAATTCTTAATTTAAAGGTAAATTATGTCTAACTAAAAGATAAAAGATGAATAACTTGTGAAAGAACTTATTTATTTCAATGCTTTTTACAATAGAATTAAAAGAGAGAGATTTTTTCATGTTTAATCCTCTTCCAATTGAAATGAAAATCATTCACTTCTGCTGCTTTATAAGTATAGAGTTATTTATTATTAATCCAATCTAACATAACAAAGTAACTCTAGGATATTCTCCCTTCCCCAGGATATCTGATAGCAGATGACAGATGGTCGGACCACATTGCAGTTTGTATAACGTGTATTCATTATTTTTGGGAACAAACAAATTTGCCATTGCCAATCTCAATAGAACCAACCAAATCCCCTTTCTCCTCCTCCTCATCATCGCACGAGAGCTGCTGCAGAAGTAACAGTGGTGCATGTGCATGATGCACCCACATCAATGTGTATGTGCGCACAGCGCACCACCCCTGAATAGCTGCAAGCCTGCAAGACTTTCTCTGTGCTAGTTTTCGTCTTACCTGCAATTTCGGCTGCTCACATGTATGCATAAGATATCACAATATAATACATAAAATATTTTGAAATTACAATTTTATTTTTTGGATTTGATAAACAACATATACAGTTTGATTAAAAAAAATTAAAGAAGACGAGTTACTATTTATCCCTTAACATGTCATTCACGATTAATTTTGCATTCATCTTTTTGTAATTAAAGTTTATTGATGCAAATTAGATTGTCAGTCAAACTAGTTATATCAGTGTGCATCCTTTTTATACTTCAGTTTGAGTTCTTATAGGTTATAGGCTAAATTACTAAAGCCTATTACTTATACAGTAATGAAAACTAAAAAAATGGCAATTCCAAGCTAGCAAGGCTCCGAGGGTCGAAGGAAGAACGTCTATAACCTTTCAAAGTAAGGATAAAAGTGTGTACGATAGATGTTCCCAATTTTTCATCATTCATAGGAACAGCAAGAAAAAAAGAGAGAAACCATCAACACAGGGAAGGAAAGTCTTTTATCTAATTACCAATACATGGTTAAATCTCCATAATTTTAGCGTCAAATTTTATTGTTGTAATGGTCCAATGCCACGATTGAGACAAGATACAATTGATTTATTCATTCATTCCCATTCATGCACCATTCTATTTCAATATTTGGAAATAATGGTTGCAGAGTAGGAGTAGCCAATTAGGGTTTCCAGAGAATAGTAGTTTCAGCGATCATGGAGGTGACAACATAAGGATCCATGTTAGAAGCCGGCCTCCTATCCTCAAAGTAACCTTTCCCGTCTTTTTCTGTGTCCCTCCCGACTCTCACTGACGCTCCTCGGTTTGCCACTCCCTGTCAGCGAAAATCACAGTATTGCACTCTCAAGTATATGAAAGTCATATGCAAATGCGAATTCAAATGATTAAAGGGATACGTACCCATAAGAACCTATTGATGTCAGCTGTTTCGTGCCGCCCAGTGAGGCGGCGTTCATTGCCATCGCCATAAGCAGCAATGTGTTCCTTGTGCCTCAAGCCAAGCTTTTCAATCGCCTTTTTTATCACTTCATAACCACCATCGCTTCTCATCGACTTGGTGCTGAAAAATTACCATCAAATGCACTTGATTCTCTGAAGTTTCCAATCAATGAAACCACAAGAAGAAAGATATAACTCATTTGTTACCTGTAGTTTGTGTGAGCACCAGCCCCATTCCAATCGCCCTGCTCACACACACATTACGCCTCAAACCATTCAAATCCGAAATTAACCAAATAATTAACAAGGGATAAATTGGATTATCTCCAATTATTCTAATTACCTCAATAGGTTTGGGATCAAACGAAAGCACCACTCCAGCTATCTCTGTAATCCTCTGTATTAATACATAAACAAGATCATTTTCATCACAAGGACTCGTCGAGGGTCATTCAATTTTCCACTAAATCACATATAATCAGTTTAAATTACCTCCAAAATGTGACGAGCAGCCCATAACTGATCTCCAGCAGCAATGCCAACAGTTGGTCCGATTTGGAATTCCCACTATATTATTAAGAGAAGATTACATTATAGTTGCAGCAGAAAAATCCCGATGCACAGAAGAACAAGAGAGTAATATATTTAGGCTTTGTTCGGTGTCTAGTATTTACCTGGCCAGGCATAACTTCAGCATTGATGCCACTTATGTCGATGCCAGCATATAGACATGCTTTGTAGTGAGAATCTACAATGTCACGCCCAAAGGACTTCTCAGCTCCAACACCACAGTAGTATGGTCCCTAATTTACGAGAAATACAAAAGTTAATTCATTCTAAAAACATCACCGCATAGTAAAGTAATTACAAATTAATTTTTCTTAAACTTTGAGATATATATTTTTCTTTCGAAGTATATGTATTGTTACCTGTGGTCCAGGAAATCCACCGAGAGGCCACCCAATTGGCCATTTCAGATCTTTCTGCAACAAAGTATACTCTTGCTCTAAACCAAACCTGAAATTTAAATTTAATCAAACCACTCAATCAAAATAAATATTTAATGAATTCCTAAACAGAACTCCCCCAAGACATGTAAGAGGTTAAAAAAAGGTATGTCACATATATAAGTTAGGATAAATGGTTAAGGTCATGTTCCCTTCCATCGGGACTTCGAATCCCTTTTTTTAATAAATTAAAGTATCTTAGAATATCACATCGTCAAAAAATGGTACAACTTATTACCAGGGTTCTTCGGCTACGACATCAGGATGGCTGAAAATTTTAGCCGCGTTAGCCCGCTTATTGGTCGGAATTGGTTCTCCACTCGGGGTGTAAGTATCACATATGACCTACAAATAATAGAAGAACTACTAAATACTAAGACATAGTTAGAGGTAAGTACTTATAAATTCTCTGTGAAGCACGTATATTGTTTAAGTAAAACGAATGTGCATTGACAACATGTCAGTACGTTTTCTTGACAATGATATAATACGTTATTGGTGACATATTGTCAGTTTGATTAAAGAACAGACGTCTAGCTTATAGCCAGATTAGGTAAGCACACTGCAACAAACATTATCACTTCACTAAAACCGACGGAGACTTACAAGAATATTGTTGCCTCTCCTGAACGGGTCCCTGAAAATTGCTTGTGGACTATTTTTGAACGCCAAGAAAAATAAATCATTAATAAATAAGACTAGAAAAACAGAGAGAAAAAAGGGCAGAGAAAGAGAGCACACTAAAGGATGACTTCACTGTCTTTGCCAGGAGCTTGGCCAGTGCTGGAACCATCGTAGTTCCACTTGGGAAGTTTTGAGGGATCACTCACTGGTCCAGGAAGAGTCTGCCTCATCTCATACAAAAATTATAAGTACTCCAAATAGAATTAATACGCACACATTATATTTGAATAAATAGAAGGTTACCCTGGCTTTGCTTCTGATGTCGATACCAGACCCACCAATCCTGTTTCATGATTCAACAAAAAAACAGAAAAATCAAATTTAATCCCGAAAACAGCAGGAAAATGAGAGAGAGAGAGAGAGAGAGAGAGAACGCATGCTCACCATATGTACTCTGCAATAATCTTCTCGGTGGAATCAGAAAGGTTGAGGTTGATAAGATCAGTGAGAAGAGACATTTTGTTACAAAGGGGAAGCCAAAGTAAGAAAACGAAGAAGATAGGGTTTCAGAGCTTTGATATGGCGATAAACTTCTATCACCGGAACAAATTATAGCAGGAGAGGGAGAGAGAGTGAGAGAGAGAGTCCACAGTGTTCAGAAATACGTGTAGGAATATGACTATATGAGTTGGGGTTGAGTTGTACTCTTGGCTTGTACTTTATAGTGCGCTCTTGCTGTTCAGAAATTCATTACGTCCATAAGACGGAAAATATACATCAGATTTCCACTCCTTATTTTTCCTTTCTCACGAAACAACTATCATTTAATTAGCTTCTAACCCTAATATGTATGAATTTAGCTACATGTGAATTCTTAAAATCTTTTTATATAAGTTTTCCCATCAATTTTCTTGCACAAAAATTATACTAATACTCTAATATTGCAAGTACCGAACATTGAAGTGATTGAACGGTCGTTTTTATTATCAAGAATTTAACCGCCTAAAATCTCGGTGTATACCTAAAAACCTCTTATTTTTATCAAGAACATATCACCGCAAAGAGAAAAACTAAAAAAAATATAATAAGAGTTATTTTCTTTGTTATTTAATGAATATTCTATTTAAATAAAGAAACATAATTAAATTTGGAGAACAGTGGGGTAAAACTAAAAAGTAACAAAATTAATTATGAACGGCAGGTGCTGATCCCTGTCTATAATTCATTTACCTGGACACCACCAAATACAATGCATACAATTGAAAATTCTGCACCACTATTTTGTATAAGCCAATATAATTATATATTGATATCAAATTAAGCTTAAAATTAAATGATTTTTTTCTAATAATTTCGTATATTGTATTATTTGGTGAATCTTATATGCAAACTGGTGCCAGCTAGAAAGTAAATGAAAGTATTATATCCATATATAATGTGTGTGAAGTAAAAAACAATGTGTGAATAACACTACTCCCTATAATGTATATTCCTGAAAAAAGAAGGAAAAAAAGTGTTTCATTTCACTTTCTTTAAGACAAATTATCAATTTACTTGCTAAAGAAAGTTGCAAATGAATGAACCTCCTCTTAGCCTCCAATCACTTGTATTGTATCATATTTTTCTCTTTCTAATAAGCACGGTTCATGACGTGGTTTGAATTCAGAATACCTTTCAAAAGAACGAAACTGTTGTAATACTTTTTATTTTGCAAAAATCTTAAGCCAAACATGAATAAAGCATGAAACATGCATATTAGACAACTTTCTTTATCCTTGACAAACAAGGATACCCTTAAGGAAAGCTGCAAATTAATGGCTATAGCTTCTCACACTTATCATCATGCATTTCATTTTTGCTAGAATTCTGTACCAACATGGAACATGTGTAAATAAACAACTTCCTTTCCATTGTTTGGCTAAAAACCAAATCAAGAACCTTAAAGAGAAGCCAACCCTTGTCACACAACTTTCTTTTCAATTCATTTCACACTTCTAATACTTTCGGTTTGCTAGGATTCTCTTTACTAAACATGGGCATATACACAACAGTATTTTTGCTTTGTTTTACCTGAAACCAAACCAAGACCCTTACGGGAGAGATTTTTCAATGTGCCCAGTACACAAGGAGGCACGCCACTTGTTATTATACAATTTAAAGTTTTTGTTTTCAATTATCCCTATAATTGTATAATGACATGTAATGTTTTTCCTGGGCATACTAAAATATATCTCCTGCAGCTGCAAGGACAGTTTTATTTGTTGTAGGTAGGGTTTAGTGACACACCCCGATCGAGATCAGGGCATGCTGGCCGTCACGTGGAAATGACGTAACCATGTGCACAGTGCGGAAGCTAATAAAATAGTAATATAAATGGTACAAATAAATAAAAACTAGCTTTACACCAAGTAATAAAAACAAGTGCAAGCGAAAGTGCGACACTAAGTTCAGAGCATAAAGTCTAAAGCAGTCCCAAAAGGAAATGACGACAACAAAAGCACACCCGAAGGTGGTCCTACACTGGTGGTGGTCTGTCAGATATGCCGGGGAAATCCTCAGGGAAGCCACTAAACGCACTAGCCAACTAGAACCTGGAGGGGCGCAAAACAGAAGCGTGAGTGGGCAAAAACAAAGCTTTTCGAAAACCAATTTAATAAATAAGTTCTAACCCCTCGCCGTAAAACCTGTATACTTCCCAGAAAATAGCATATAAATATATAAGTCATGCTCGAAAAACGTGCCATGCAATATGTCTCGAAGTAATATGCCAGTGCTCAGGAAACATCAAATCAATACTATGTAACTGTCAGCCAGAGTCACCTAACGTGACCTGTACGACTGAATCTAGAGCTCGAATCTCCGTCTCACTAACTATACCTGCACACGAGTCGGAACCACCTAAGGTGGTCTGTACGACAGGCCTGGGTGTAATCTAAGTACGCTCTAGTGCTACGATCACGTGAAGGTTGGGCGAATAATTGCGGGTCACCTACGAGTCGGAACCACCTAAGGTGGTCTGTACGACAAGCCTGTGCACCTTAACTTGGATCCAAGATGAGCGTGTGGTGCGGGAGGTGAACATCACGTGAAGGACTGTGCCCTACTCTGGGCGGGAGCACTAACACCGGGGTGCAGGTTACGAGCTCTCTAAGTCTCTAGGATCACTACTTAACGTAAATATAAATTAGACTCACCTGGCACTTACCTGTGCGTCCACGGCACCAATACACATGTATATATATAAAACCAATAATGCATAAACAAATGGCAACCAATAATTAACCATGGCATAATATTGTAAAAATATTTTTATTTCATTTTCCGGGAAACATATAAGTATGTAGGTATATACGGAAAACCAAAAGCCCACTCACTAGTAAGTAGAAAGGGTCGTAACCCCCTGCCTCGAGTGACCACGCTCCTCCTCGGGATACGTCTCACCTATATGCGAAACAACTATAAAAACGTTAATTTTAAAGCACATAACCAAACTTTAGAAATAACTTCTCATACAATGCTCAAATGGGGTGTATGAATACACCAACGTGATCTACTCAACCTCAGGAACATCCCCATATTTTTAAAATAATTTTTCACCGTCGCACGCGCCCCCACGCACCGGCCAAGGCACGGCCACATGCGCCGGCCATGCGCAGGCACGTGCCTAGCACGCTGACGGCATCAACTGACGCCGTTAGGAATATTCCGTTATCTATAACGGTTTCCGTCAACGGCGTCAGGAATATTCCATCAGATTTGACGGAATATTCCGTCGTCTTCTCCGGCGAGGCTCCGGCGCCGGCGACGACGCCGGAAAATCGGGAAAGTTTCAAACCTTTGTAACTTCTTCGTTTTTCACCCAAATTTCATAAAATTGGTACCAAAATGAAGCTTACAACGAGAGGAACACAATCATACCACTTTCAAGTGCTAAAATCCACAAAATCTCACTTGAAAAATCACCCCAACTCCGGCCAACCTCGAAACTCGTGATCCCGACGTCCAAAACCTTCAAACGAACCACCCCGAGCCTCCTAGGGACCTCACCAAGCTCCCTACAAGCTTGAAATTCCCAAAAAACATGAGAAATTACGTGTGCATGAACAGTATCAAAATCGGGCAACCCGAGTTCAACGTGAAAACGAAGGTATTCTTACCTGAAATGGGTATGGTTGGACTCCTACGAGCCTCACGAGCCTCACGAGCCTCACGAGCATGGATATGTACTTTATACCTTCGATCTGTGAAGGTTTGATAGGTTTGTGTGTGTGTCCGTACGATGGAGGAGGAAATGGGAAGGGAACTGGGCACGGGATAGGGTGCAGGGCAGGGGAGAAGGGTGTGGGTGTAGGTTAGTGTGTGTGTGGCCCAAAAACATGCCAACAAGGAACCCAAAACAACCAATAAACGTAAAGAAATCGCACTAGGGATAAAATCGTCTTTTCACGCGTACGTTTTTTAAATTTCCGGGACGGGTTGTCACATTTAGTCTTTACCCTAACAAAATAGAAAACAGTCTTGATCTTGCCTTTTGTTTATGTGACTAAAAATTAAAAAAAAATAAAAGTTTTTGTTTTATATTCATTTACGTTTATTTCTCTTCGGAATAGATAAATATAAACTAGATGAGTAGGAACCAATATTACAAGGTAAGCACTTCGATGTTCTAATTAATCAAAATATTACGGGAGCGAAACTTAAGTGTAACGGTACATAAATCGATCTTATTATATTATGATGCACCACATGCTGAATGAAACATGCACAAAAAATATACATTCGGTTGCATTTAAATTATCCTATTACATGGTGTTCTATTAGGTGATGGGTTTTCAACCTAGTTAGGTATTTTACCTTTTGACATAAAAGGTTGATGCTAAACTACTTTTACCCATACGATCCAATGTCTACCTCATAGGATGCCAAACTAGTTTACCTATAAGATCAAACGTTTACATTAACTAGTCACCTAAAGATCAAAAGTTTGTTACCTCATAAGATATCCCACTTATTGATATCTGATCTGGCATATGATGACATACTCGTCTTTTCCTTATTTTTGGCGACTTGTTAATTTGGTGACGAATGATGGGTTGGTCCTCATATCCTTTTGCAGTACTAGTTGACGAGGAGCCTGCTGAAATCGTCCCTAGTGGCTACTGGCTACACCATTGTATGAAGTTCCTGGAAATCTCAATTAGCCAAGCATACGTACCCTTTTATATTTATATTCTGATGATCTGGTTTTGGTAATAGACAAGTCGGTGGCAAATATATATACGTGCCAAATTTAAAGAGCTTGCTGCTGACAACGATGAGATAAGCTTGTCCGTTTGCAATGCAGTCTGATTCTTTCAGGTAATTGAGCAAAGAGAAATGTTTAAGGAAACTCTCTTAAAGTGAGATTTTTTATTACTTTATAGTGTAATGTCAATATCATAAATATATGCAAAAAGTATGAGATTGAAAGAAATTTATGAAAAATTCCACTTTTGAGAGTCTCTTTAACATTTCTCTTGTGCGAAACGCTAGCTTCATGTACTTGTCTGTTTGGAATGCAATTTGATTCTTTCAAGTAATTGTGTGAAACACTAGTTCCATATATTCTCTCTGTATAATAATGAGAAGTGATAAGCACATATGCATATATTTCACACATTTTTATTTAATTTTAACGGTTGGTTTTATTTGAGATCCGACAGTAACAATAAAAAAGTGCATGTGAAAAGTTAAAAAAACTATGTGAAAATTAGTTTACCAAAAAAAAAAAAAAAAAAAAAACTGTGAAAATTACATCCTTTGTAGATGTTTTACAAATAAGAACGTAGTCAAACTATTTGGAAATATGAATTAATCAGATATTTTGAGGCAAAACAATATAATAAACTTGATAGCAACAACAATACTCTAATTTCAACCATATGCAAGTGCATCAACATAATCTTGAAAACCTATTTCGGGATTTTTTTTTTTTTTCAGAAGCTAATTAAGCTTGCAGATAATCAATTGTAACTCACAACCCCTTCTCGTAGTGTAGCGAATATAGCTAAATACGTAAAGCACATGTGGTTGTTGCCAATGGTGTAGCCATAAATTATTTGATAGGGCTAAGCTAAAATTATTACTACGAAACAAAAATTTTAATATTTTGTTGCCCACATAAAGTTATATAATAGTAAACTTGAAAGTAATAATTTGAAGCAAGAAATTTGCACTTTGTTTTCTAGGCTTCTAATCTTCAAACTTTCAAGTGAATAAAATAAGGAACCATTTGTGGTATGAGAGTTTTAATTTAGTGCTATTAAATTATAATATTGGTCAAAGTGATTAGTTTATTTCACATTTATTAGCTTGTATTTTACTTAAAAGCAGCCTTAAGATTCAAAATTTTCATTTGCTAAGTGGAATATGACAAGTAAAAATCATAAAATAGACTAAAAGATTAATATTTTAAGCTTAAAGAACTAGAGCTCTTCCTATGGTATAGCCTAGGCGAGCCTTGTACTTGGCTCTGCTAGTGGCTGTTGCGCTTCACACGCTTACCAACTTGTCTATGATACTATGAAGGAAGTTGAGATTCCACCACAAAACCAATTAGCAATATGAAAAGTAGCTCAACTTATTATAAGTCTTTGTAATGTTAATCCATCACCTATGTGGGACATTATACTTCACATTCTCACATTAGAAACACGTAAAATGGAAGCGACTCAACGCTTCTACAATTCAGAATCACTTTGATGTCTTTTTACCAAATGCAATTAGTAGCAGCTTTTAATTGTTACATTTAACCATTTGAAAGCAGTCCCAAATATGCCTTTAGAATGAAAGGCTTTGATGTGCTTTTAACAAAAAAACTTTTTCAAAAAAACAAGTATTTCCTATCAGATAACTCTTAAAAGGGCTCATTACATTTTGTGTCTAGTTGCCATTGGGTCATTGAAAGAGATTGGACGTAGCCCAATAAATATATGTTTGGGTCAAGTGAATAAAATGGCGGGAGGCCTGCACACAAAGAGGACGGTGGTGGGCTTGGCGGCCGGAGTGGTTCGTGGTGAGCACGCAAATACTTTTTTTTCTTTGAACGCCAGCACGCAAATACTTGGAGAGGACTCTAAACAAGTGGCGGTAAACGAAGGGTCCGGTCAGAGTATGCGATTTCGGTGACGAACTCCCCTCACCGCCTTCCCCTTTCCTTTCCCCTCAACCCCCAACCCACACCCTCACTATAAATATACATAAACCAGTCTCTCTCATCCCGTTTCTTCTCCGGGTCGGTTTGTGTCCCTCCGAGACAAACCCATCTGTAAAGTATCCAACTGATTAACAGGGACCCACCACACAGCCACACACAAAGGGTAAAGTTTTCCAATTTTTTATTTTTTTTGGGTTTTTCACTTGAAATCCCAGAAATTTAATCAAGAGAGAGACAGAGAGAAGAGAGAGAGAGAGAGAGAGGGAGATTCTCACTGAAAGTGCGGGAAATTTTATCTCCGTTTCTTATCATCTGGGACTACCCGATCAGGTAATTACTTGATTAATTTATCTTTTGTTTCTCTTGTTTTGTCGATTTGGATCCGATTTTTAGTTGTTCCTGCGATTAGGGTTTCTATTTTTCTTGTGGGGGTTTCAGAAATTGTTGGAAAGTCTTGAGCTTGATTGGAATAAGATATGAATTTATTTTCTTTATTTTCTTGTTTGGCTGGTCAGAAAATGCTGGAAAGTTTTGAGCTTGATTGGAATTAGATGTGAATTTATTTTAGTTAGTGAACTCGTGGATGCTTAGGGCTTAGTTTGTTGGATTTTGTCAATTAATTTAATTCTAATTTGAATTCATTGCCTTTTGATTGATTGCAGTTTTTCTGTGTGTGAATTCCTTTGGGGAGTTCTTTCTTTCTTATTCGATCGCCTATTTCGGCACACTGTCGGAGAATAGGAGGTTTGAGAGCTTGGTGGTTTCGCAGAATATGAGTTCTCATGTCCGAAATGAGCGAAGGGATAGGTCCAGGTTTCCTGCTCAGCCTGCCGCTCAGCCTACTCAGCCTGCTCGTCGAGAGTGGGTGCCGAGAGGATCCAACCCTACCATTGCCACTGCTGCCGTGAACCCGCCTCCACAAGTCGATCCAAACAACCTGAATGGCAATGTCAGCCAGCCTAATTCTAGATTCAATCCAAACAACCAGAATGGCAATGTCACCCAGCCTAATCTAAGATTCAATCCGAACAACCTGAATGGCAGTGTCAGCCAGCCTACTCCAAGATTCAACCTGGACAACCCGAATAGCAATGTCAGCCATCCTAATCATAGCTCTGTTCCATCAGAGATTCGGCCACATAGAGGAGGAAATAATGGCGTTAGAGGACAGGGTCGGCTGGTGAACCATAGAAGGGAGAGGGGAAGGAATGACAATCAGGAGGAGAAGGGATTGATGGACTCAAATTTGCCCCAGCTTGTGCAAGAAATTCAGGATAAGCTGACGAAGGGCACTGTCGAGTGTATGATTTGTTATGATATGGTGAGGAGGTCTGCACCTGTTTGGTCCTGCTCAAGTTGCTACTCAATTTTCCATCTGGCTTGCATCAAGAAATGGGCTCGAGCTCCCACTTCTATCGACATGTCTGCGGAGAAGAATCAGGGGTTTAATTGGCGGTGTCCTGGATGTCAATCTGTACAGCTCACTTCGTCAAAGGAGATTCGGTATGTTTGCTTTTGTGGCAAGAGGACGGACCCACCTTCAGATTTGTATTTGACACCACATTCATGTGGCGAGCCTTGCGGGAAGCAACTCGAGAGGGAGGTACCGGGTAAGGGTGTGAGTAAGGACGATCTTTGCCCTCACGTTTGTGTCTTGCAGTGCCACCCAGGTCCATGCCCTCCTTGTAAAGCATTTGCCCCTCCACGTTTATGCCCATGTGGAAAGAAAATAATCACAACAAGATGTTCCGATCGGACATCTGTTCTGACTTGTGGTCAGCATTGTAATAAGCTTCTTGATTGCTGGCGTCACCGCTGTGAGCGGACTTGCCATGTGGGTCCTTGTGATCCTTGTCAGGTTCTTGTTGATGCGTCCTGCTTTTGCAAGAAAAAGGTGGAGGTTGTTCTCTGTGGAGACATGACTGTGAAGGGAGAGGTGAAGGCAGAAGATGGTGTTTTTTCATGCAGTTCCACGTGTGGAAAAATGCTTAGCTGCGGTAATCATTCCTGCAGCGAAGTTTGCCATCCAGGGCCATGCGGAGATTGCAATTTAATGCCAAGTAAGATTAAGACATGCAACTGTGGGAAAACAAGCTTGCAAGAGGAACGACAGAGTTGTTTGGATCCGATTCCAACCTGTTCACAATTATGTGGCAAGTCTCTCCCTTGTGGGATGCACCAGTGTCAAGAGGTGTGCCATACTGGGGATTGCCCACCTTGTTTGGTTGAAGTGACCCAAAAATGTCGTTGTGGGTCAACTTCTCGGACAGTGGAATGCTTTAAAACCACAATGGAGAATGAGAAATTTACTTGTGACAAGCCTTGTGGGCAGAAGAAGAATTGTGGAAGACATCGGTGCAGTGAGAGGTGCTGTCCCCTTTCTAATTCAAATAATGCTCTCTCAGGGGATTGGGATCCTCACTTTTGCTCTATGCCCTGTGGGAAGAAGTTAAGGTGCGGTCAGCATTCTTGTGAATCGCTTTGTCACAGTGGCCACTGCCCTCCCTGCCTTGATACAATCTTCACGGACCTGACCTGTGCCTGTGGGAGGACTTCAATCCCTCCTCCACTACCATGCGGTACCCCTCCCCCGTCATGTCAGCTGCCATGTTCACTCCCTCAGCCTTGTGGGCATACATCTTCTCACAGCTGCCACTTTGGAGACTGTCCACCATGTTCGGTGCCTGTGGCAAAGGAGTGCATTGGTGGGCATGTGGTCCTCAGGAACATTCCTTGTGGGTCGAGGGACATCAAGTGTAACAAGCTCTGTGGGAAGACAAGGCAGTGTGGTATGCATGCTTGTGGCAGGACTTGTCACCCACCTCCCTGTGATACATCTTGCTCAGCAGAACAAGGTTCAAAAACTTCTTGTGGACAGATATGTGGTGCTCCTAGGAGAGATTGCAGGCATACATGTACTTCACTTTGTCACCCTTATGCTTCTTGTCCTGATAGCAGATGTGATTTTCCTATCACAATCACTTGTTCTTGTGGCCGGATGACAGCAACTGTTCCTTGTGATTCTGGTGGCAGCAATGCTAGTTTCAAGGCCGATACTGTGTATGAAGCTTCTGTTATTCAAAGGTTGCCAGCACCACTTCAACCAATTGAATCAACTGGCAAGAAGATCCCGCTCGGACAGAGGAAGCTTATGTGTGATGATGAATGTGCTAAGATGGAGAGAAAACGGGTTCTTGCAGATGCTTTTGATATAGCTCCTCCAAACTTGGATGCACTCCATTTTGGTGAGAGTTCTGCTGTTTCTGAGTTGCTTTCGGACCTTCTTAGACGTGATCCCAAGTGGGTATTATCAGTGGAGGAGAGATGCAAGTACTTACTGCTCGGCAAGAGCAGAGGTGCTACAAGTGGTCTCAAGGTTCATGTTTTCTGTCCAATGCTAAAGGAGAAGAGGGATGTAGTTCGGATGATCGCTGAAAGATGGAAGCTTGCAGTTCAAGCCGCTGGTTGGGAGCCCAAGCGATTTATTGTGGTTCATGTTACACCAAAATCAAAAGCCCCCACTCGGATACTTGGGGTTAAGGGTACAACAACAGTTAGTGCACCCCAGCCTCCAGCTTATGATTATTTAGTAGACATGGATCCCAGGCTTGTAGTTTCATTCCCAGATCTTCCTAGAGATGCAGATATAAGTGCACTTGTATTAAGGTTTGGTGGGGAGTGTGAGTTAGTATGGTTGAACGATAAGAATGCATTAGCTGTATTCAACGATCCTGCTCGAGCAGCAACTGCAATGAGGAGGTTGGATAATGGCGCACTATATCATGGCGCTATAGTTGTCCACTCAAATGGGAGTGCATCTATGGCGGCATCAGGTTCTAACGCTTGGGGTGGACTGGGGACAGCTAAGGAAGGAGGAGCGTCTGCAGTGCTGAGGGGTAATCCGTGGAAGAAGGCTGTTACGCGAGAGTCCGGTTGGAGGGAAGATTCATGGGGTGAGGAAGAGTGGTCAGGCAGTTCTACAGATGCGCAGGCAAACGTGTGGAATAAAGAAGTACCAATTGCTGCCTCAGTAAATCGATGGAGTGTACTAGACAGTGACACGGCATTGGGCTCATCCGCTTCATCTCCCAGGGTTGAGGACTCTAGAAAACAGCCTTTGGGTCCACCAAATTTGGGTTTGGAGTCGAAAGCAAGCGGTTCGAGTTCGAGTTCCACTTTGGCTGGGCAGCCAGTTGGAGTTATTGCAGATACACCTGAAGTTGATGACTGGGAGAAGGCTTATGAATGAAGATAGAATCGTGAAACAGATTAAAAAAGAAAAGTTAAGGACCTCTGGTGGTGCGGGATTTGTAGTACTAGTAGGATGCCCTGCCTTTGTTTTCTTTTTGTTTTGCTGCATTTGGGTATTTCTTTTTTTGGCCCAAAGAAATGTTTGGTTAGCACCACAATTTTATCCATCTTTTTCATTTTATACTTGTCTTCTGAGATATGGTTTGTATTAATTATTGCTTCCATGGATATCAATGCCAGAAGAATCCAGTTAGACTTGGTGGGTTGCTCCTTGTTGCGTTTTGGTTTTGGGCATGGTTGTGGAAGTGGATGACATACATCTGATACAAGACTTCTCTCGTTATCTCTTTCTTCATGTGACATAATTCATATAATCCTTCTAGCATTGGTTTTCAAAACGAAGGGTGATTGATAACATCTTAATAAAAAAAACTTGGGTGGTAATGCTATGACCATGTTATATGTGGGGCACTTCTCACCAAAAAATCCTACATGGTGTTAGAATTGCGGTAGCAAATGTAGGTCTACCGAAGTTTCTGATATATATCTCTCCAAACTTTATGCTGATCCTATCTAATGTGAGAACTGATTTATCGAAATCTCTTCCTTGATAAAGAGGTTATAGCATAAAACTGAGATATATATCTCTCATTTCACGTGATTCCATGAATCCAAGTGCATTTCCATACTCTTCTTATAGGCATACTTTCATCACTGATGTTGACCGTTTGATTGGTTGTGATCTCGAGGAGTTTATAGGCATACTTTGGTTGATGTGGATGCGATTTTCCCTAATATTAATATTTCATTGTGCAGCTTAAGATCAAATCTCCTGGACTGGGATCACCTCCGGATCCCCATTTGCTGAGCAAACTGAGCAAAACATCATATCCTTCCATTTTTGATCCAGCAGGGGAGGGGATCCAGATGTGATCCCAGTCCAAATCTCCTATCCATCCTAAAAATAGTAATATAATTAAACAATCCACAAGTTATTATCATAAAATTCTTGTTGCTCAAAATTGTTGAGATTATGAATCCTACATCAAAGAAAGAAGAGACTTTGCATGTGCTTATAAATAATTAAGTTACTTTCCATTTTGCCAATTGGTTTTATGGTGTAACCTCAACTTCCTTTATGATATCAGAGCAAGTTATGAAGTTCAACGGCCACATGACTCAATTTCACCTAATTTATGTTGTCCACATATTAGACTTGAAAACTCCTCACACGTGAAGGGACGTGTTGAGATTATGTATTCCGCATTGGAAAAATAAAGGACTTTATATGTGTTTATAAATAATTGAACTACTCTCCATATTGCTAACAAATTTTATAGTGGAACCTCAACTTCCTTCCTTGTCACTCTCAACCTAGCATTCCCTATCTACTACCGATATATACAAATATGGAATATCATCATCCCCTAAAAACTATGTAACATCTCTCTCACTGTTTGTAAATTGAAAGTTTACATCTTGTCTTGTGAACTCCGTGTATTAAGCATTGTGTAAGTCGCTTGGTAGCAAAGTCGGTCCTAAGGGTAGTCGGAGTAGGTGCCCGCCTAGGGCCCCATTTCGGAAGGGCCCCCGATTTTTAGGCGAAGTTAGGCGGGTTTGGACTAGAATGGTCGAGAGCTATGTGGGCTTATATGTAAAGGTCGGAATTTGGAAATCTTTTGTTGCAGGGTTGGCCTCGCGTGAGGAAGAAGACAACCTTATTCTCAACATCATTTTAATTACATGATTTTACTTAAGATAATCCCGCCATCTTTTTATTTTTATTTTTTTATATCTGCACGTCTTCTCTCCTTTAAATAGTCCCCACCATCTTATTTTTACTTTTTTACTTCTCTCTTAAATAGCACATATATGTTTATTTTTATGGGGTTTTATTACCCTATTTTAATATCACACCACATATATATTTATTATGTACCTAAAAGGCTAAAACTCTCACCTTTTTGAAAAATGACATTATTAAATGTTCAAATTAATTAGTTTATCTAATATATAATAAATTATTTAAATCCGTTTCCTCTGCCTAGGTGTTTTTACGAAAATTACTATTCTCTTCACTCTAATATTTTTCCTAGTCATAAGATGTTGTCTCTATAATCCAACCATTCATTCATTTATTGAATGTAATAAGTAACATTGTAACAATAGAAAAATGATTGGAATTTGGTGTATTGGGTAGGGACTTCTCTTTCGGTTTGAATTGGTTGAAAAATTAGATTATATAAACTTAATAAATGCTAATATTTGATTAATGTTTGTATATCTTTCTTCTTTTGATATTAATTTTTAATGATATTTGATGTAGAAATAGACTTTTCATGTATTTAGTGAATTTTTTTATACATGTCAATGTACAAAGGGTCGGAGTCAAAGAATCCTAGGACCCCATTTTGAAGGCTCACATAGGACTCCCAAATTCTTAGGACCGGTCCTGCTTGGCAGTTGGCATTCCCATATCTCTCAGTCGTTTCTTATATATAAAATCTGCACAGTAACATCTATTTAGTATTCATCTGTATAACTTTTTGTAATCCGGCTACTGATCTCAGACATCCATGGAACCTCAGCTCACGCCTCCTAACCAGTTAAAGGTAACTTTCTTCCTTCTTTTTAACTACAAAACTTGTACGTAATTTTTCTTTCACTTAATTTTAGTGGAAAAAGTTATCTGGTTTGAACTAAATGGAATTATGAAGTAGCTGAAGAATTGATCCATGATCTCACTCTAACATCTCCGTTTCGGGTTGTTTTAGTCACTTGATTTGCATTGCTCTAATGTTTCTGTAACTAGTATTTTTTTTTATCCCTTAAAATGAAAAATGAAAAAAAAAAAAAAAAAAAAAAAAACAAACAAACAATAGCTAAGATCCAAACCTTTAGTGGTATCTACAGACTACTGCTTTAGTATATTTTCTTCTGCATTTACTTTCCGAATCGGAGTTTTTGTTTTTGTTTTTTAAATCAACGGGGATGGGGATTCAAGGTTTACACTTGGGGCAATTTCCAACATTGAGAAGAGAAGAGAAATATTACTAGACTAACAACTAGTTAATTTTTTCAAATTGGGGTTAGATTATCTTCAACCGAAAAGGCTAAACATAACCCTCTTTAGAATTATGGCCTTGCTAAAATTACTTTTAAATGAACAGTGTCAGACCATCCTTATATACCATCTCCAACCGAAGGGACATAGTCCCCTCAACAATTTATTAGTTTTAAGTTTATACTTTAAATTTATTGGTTAATTTAATTGAATTATTGTTGAATGTTTTCACATCTAGTCGTTGATTTAGTATCAATTATTGCAACTGAAGAGTTGAGCCACAAAAAGTGGCTAAGAGGGGGCTACATTTGGCTAAATAATGATCTGGTAGACTTCATAGAATTATAGCCCAGCCATCCATTAGAGATGAATTTTTGAGCAAACCAAATTATCTTTTAACTTTTAGACTTTTACCCCTCGCCATTGGACATGGCCTTATTATTCGGCATTTCACTTAGGCTGGTGTTGTAAATAAAATCTTGTTAAATTTGACCAATTGGATCTAACTACAGTTTCGTTTCCGATTTAGGGATCAAAATACATCCTTCACCTAATTAGTTTTCGAGTTGTTAATAGGGAGTTTTAACAAAAAGCCCGCGGTATTGTGCATTTTAACGAAAAACCACATTTTTACACTAAAAAGTCAAACCTGGTACTATTCATTTTACCCTTTATTTTGTCCTTATTGTTAAAACTCAAAGTTTTCAAACCCTTTTCATTAGTTTTCCTTTGTTATTAATATGCAGGAGACATGGAAGCACACACTTCTTTTGTCATTTCAGAGCCTTGGAGTAATATATGGTCAACTTGTTCAAGTCACATCGGTGGGTGAAAAGAAATAAAGGGGTTTAAATATGATTACCCCACTCTAACTAATACTGAGATCTTTTGTGGTAAAATTCCACACCTGAATGATTGGGCAGGTGGTAAAGTTGGGGACAATATCAGTGTCGTTAGAGTGGGGCGGGTCCGACGATCCAAGAATCCAATATGGTATCAGAGCCCAAGGTTCGGGCCGTGCAAACCAATGATCTTGTCACTAAGAATTAAGGAAACAAGTTTGAACTCTTAACATAAAGACGACCATTGAGTTCCATTGAAAACAAGTGGGCCCAATAGGAGCCGCCCTCTGAGTTTCAATTACCGATGTGGATCTCCATGTGTGAACCACTAAAATGAGGTTACACGTGAGGGGGAGTGTTAAAGTTCCACATCGGTGGGGTGAAAAGAAACCAAGGGGTTTAAATATAATTACCCCACTCTAACTAATACCGAGATCTTTTATGGTAAAACCCCACACCTGACGGATTAGGCTGGTGGTAAAGTTGAGGACAATATCGGTGTCGCTAGAGTAGGACGGGCCCGACGATCCAAAAATCTAACACACTCCTCACCAGAAATGCTTGTGACAACAATTGGTTATCTAATCGATGTTAGTTAAATCTTCCATAGGTTTGGCTATAAGTTCTGGAATGCTTGTAACGACTTGTCTCATGTCACTTGTAATTGCGCTATACTGGGAGAAGAGTTTGTTTGAGTCCGTCTGCTGTCTAATATTCTTTGGATCGATTGAGGTGATGTATGTATCGGCTTGTATGTTGAATTTTCACAAGGGAGCTTGGTATTTGGTTGTCCTTTTGGCATTGTCCTTGACTATCATGCTATCAAGGCATTACGGAACCAAGAAGAAGCTCGAATTTGATATAGAAAACAAGGTCTCTGCAGAATGGCTTACAGGCATTAGCTGCGGCCTAGGAGTTACTAGGGTACCCGGGATTGGTTTCATTTATACCGATATAGTGACAGGAATTCCAGCTTTCTTCTCACACTTCATTACCAATCTTCCAGCGTTTCACCAAGTTTTGATTTTCGTATCCTTCAAGTCTCTGCCAATGCCTTATGTCCCTCCAAGTCGGAGGTATCTTATTGGCAGGGTTGGCCCAAGTGATTTTAAGATATCGCTGCGTCATGAGATACGGGTATTGTGATCCTATAAGGGACACTGATAATTTTGAAGAACATATTATTAGTTCGATTGGCGAATTCATTTGCATGGAAGAAAGTGATTTAGATTCCCAAAATTCATCCGAAGGAAAATGGTTGTTGTTGGAAAGGCACCAGCTGATGGAACCGGAAGTGCTTTGATTCCTTTGAATGATACAAATTCATATGAGATGGAGTGTGTGAGTAATGCGAGCAACGAAGCTCGGTCTCCATTAGGTGATGCAATTGAGAGTGGTTTTACGCCGGCGACGAGAAGGAAAGTCCGATTCATGTTGCCTCCAAATAGTCCGAAAATGCGCATATCTGTGAGGGAGGAGCTGCAAGAACTGATTGATGCAAGGGAGAGTGGGACCGCGTACTTCTTAGGGCAGGTGCATTTAGCAGTGCGTGACGGATCGAACATTCAAAAGCAATTGCTGATCATGACTTATGTGTTTCTGGATAAAAATTGCAGAGAGCCTCCAGTTGCACTCAACATTCCTCATGCTGCTCTTGTTGAGGTTGGCATGGCCTGTTGCATATGAACTGTATTGCCAACGCAGCATGGGTCTGAGCAGCGAGTTATACAGCGAGCGAGAGGAGAAAGGAGAAAGGGGGAGGACAGAATCCGAGATCGGGGATATAAGAAACCAGTATATTGCTAGCTAGTTTAAGTTTTTAACTTGTACTACAAGATATGAGGAGTGAAATCTGTATTGCATATATTAGTCCAGGAGTAATGCTTAGTGCATTGCTTGGAAACAGCACAAGATTACAAAAAAGTTGAGAACTGATTAATTCTCTCTAAATAATTAAATTGATTCAAATTGACAGCCAAACATCTTTAGTAATGAAAAATTGACCTTGATGAATTATTTCTAAACAAAACTGTGAAGTCATTGAACGATCCACAAATTTGATTTCATAACTTTTTATTATTTGATTAACAAAATAAGTTGAATTTCCACTAGAATATATACCAATTAGTAATATGGAGAACAATATAATTTTTATAAGTACATGCAAAATCTTTTAATTATCAATATAAAATTATCACTCTCAACACGGAGAATCCTAAAAAATAATAAGAGATATAACTTTTAAAGGTTTAAATTTCCATTAGAGAAATTCAAATAGGTATCCATGCAGGTGAGATATAGCCGTCCCAAATGAATATGGGTGACAATACAGAAAGATATGCAGGAATTCAAAATTTGGAATATTTTAATCCTCGCTATAATAGCATGCATGTCTGTTGTTATTCTGGCAAGATAGCATCCAGGTGAATAATATGACGGATGATTAATACATATTACTAGTGTAATACAAATGAAAGCGACTATTAGTTATGAATGGGGGTCTTCCTTCTGGCTGGGGTGTAATCCATGACCACCAACACCAAATCTTGTCCAGTTGCGAGATTTTTCTCTCGTTTTGTTTTGAATAAATTTGTTTGAATGGTCTTGGCGGCTTCATCTTGAACAAGACCTGCACCTTTTTCGTTGACCTCCATATCTCCTAATGATTCGTGACAGTTGACAGCAAGAAAAAAGCATATCATAGGGTATATTACTACACATTAATTAAAGAAATTTAAAGAGAATTACCATAATTTAATTAATTAAGTATCAGGAAAGTAAAACTAGAATTTGATGAGAGTAAATGAACGTACGTCTACCATCAACAAAAACGACTGAGGCAATGAAGATCAGCACACCGCAAATGCAAAAACAAGCTTGTTTAGCCCTAACGCCACCATTGGTACTGTACGAAAATCGAGGAAATTATTTGAAATGAGAATTTGTTTATAAGTTCTTGGCAATATTAAGAGATGTTTCTGCACTGCAGCTTCCTCTTCCACTGGCTTAAAGAATTTGCTTCCTCTTATATAGATTGTATGTGTGTGAAGTTCGTGATTCTAATTGGACATATATGTAGATGTGGGGGCAACTGGATGTTGAAGTGTAAGTTAACGTAGGAATAAGCAAAGCCAGAGGTTTTTGAGCATATGGTGTCAAATGTCAAATTATTATATCAATTTCAATCGCATCTTCGTACGGACACGCACAATAGTCCCAACAGTAGTACTAATGTTCATTTCTTTCTCGTACATATATAGCTAGTTTTCTTGAATTAGAATATCGAGGATATATGTTTTCCCTATATATAGCAAAATCCTGTTGCTCCCTTATGTTTCTGTTTTTTAAGTGGCTACTGGCCACTGGCTAAAAGAAAAAGATAAGATATATGTGCAATATAACCAAAACTTTGAGGCCTTAGTTACGTGCCTGTACTTACTTGCTTCACACTTATTTTCTTCCATGCATTAAGCCAGGATTAATTCGAGATAGTGCGAGTAAATATTAGAGGAGGGCGATAAGCCAGCATGCACGTGTAGTTGCAGGTGGTTGCAGTTGTGAACAAAACATATGCCAACATGGACTGTAATCATACGGTTTACTATTAAACTAAAAGCTAGTTGGTATAAGTTGATTGACTTCCGAATATTTATCAGATTGATAACAAGTTTCTGATAAGTTTGCACTTAGGCACAAATTGGGAGGCATGGTGGGGCCATATCGGCTGAGCTAAATATATATCAATGAGAAATTTTTCAGTATGCTTGGTACACGGGCTAATATATTACGTGTTACTATATAAATTGTGGGATATATGTGTTAAAAAATTAATAACTTAAAAAATAAAATTTCTTTCCACTTATATAAAAGCATGTGGTGTATTATTCGTGTTCCGGTCACAATGAAAAATTCCATCAAGATCATCACGTGAAGTATTTATATATTTCCTTAGCACATAATATCATCTTGGTTTCCTAATAGGTCCTAATAATTAATCTATATAATGAAAGGTCGCTTCTATAATAGTTAGCCTAATGAAGGGTCGCATGCGGCAATCTCATGAGGCTATATTTCAAGTGCGAAACCAGAAATTTTCACAAATTTAAGCTAACATTCTTTTGTTTATCTATAGTCACTTATTTCGTCTAAGAATTGTTAATGTGAAGTAGACTAATTTTCAATTGGCGTGAGCTAATTAATTTTTGCTAACCGGATGAATTTCACAGGAATACAACACCCAATTTATTAGTAGAATATTGCACGAGATTGGAGCCCATTCTATCTCAAGGGTGGCTTCTCCCTTACACTGTTTGTGCGTCTAAAACTAAAATATAATGTCTAGTTTTATTGATTAGTCATCTTAGAGTATGGACTCTGAATAATTTTTCGAATGTAAATTTGTTGACCTAGTTGACACTTTGAGCCACCGAATAAACTATTAGCTCAATAGGCTATAGCCTTAGCCTCCTTATGACCATCTCCTGTCTTATGTCTAATCATTTAGAGTACGTACGTTGAAATTTGAATCGATCAAATCAAACCTTCCAACATGGAAGCGGTATAACTGCTGAAACGCACATGTCTATGTTGGTTATTGGCACTATCTGTTGTGTTTGTAGGCAAGATTTGGATCGTATATGGCCGGCCATGCAGCGACGTCGACACATACATTATCAGATTATGGAATATTATTATTGGTAATTAACCCTCCGGAATTAATTAATTTACATCTGATTAGCAGAGATCGACCTGGATTAATATCTTCAACAAATATATGGTCTAGGTTTGAGCGACGTTGGGATTCTTAAGCTTCTTTCACAGGAGGATATACCAGTAGCAGTGGTAGGCCAGTCTATTGTCCGTGGGACGCATAAGTAGGGCAGTCTAATATTCATACACGCTTAACAATAACCTTTGGGTTTGGTAGCGTCTCCCTCCCCATTTTGTCGGTTAAAGCGGAGCAACGTTTGATTTAGGGTTTGTGATTTTCACACTCACTCTGTTCGCTAACACTCCTCTTCTCGTTTTCACGCCTTGATTCTCCATTTTTCTTTACTCATTGCTAAAGGACAGAAAAATGGGAAGGAGTACTGCAAATTTATAGAAAAATGTAGAGTGAAAATTATATATGTTGGAAAAGTTAATAAGTTAGCTTTTTTATTTTTTTTTTATTTATGGATAATTTGGTATTTTGAGTATTATGATTTTTTATAAGATGTTTTGTAACTTAGTTAGACATAAGTCACAAAATATAGTATTTTGAGTTATGCAGCCTTCTTGACAATTCAAGAGTGTTTCTTCGTTTTTAGTTAGTAAATTAATATTTGTAGTTTTGTAATATGATTGTTCGTCTGTTTTAAATACTCTAATTTTCAACTATATATATGATGTGGCATGTCGTCGACCTAGTTTATCAAAATCATGCAATTATAAGTGTACAATAATTTTCTTTGTTATATGTAGGTATTAGTTGTTGAGAAATATGTATAAAGTTTTGGTGGATGATTTGTCTGGGTCCGTACATACATAATCATATAATCTACGATACCAAATATATTAGAAGAGTCGTTTTCGTATGAAAGCATCGATAAAAGAAAGCACCCATCGTTTATGAACAGTAGGATTTTGGATGTATTGCTTGGAAAAAGTGATATAGATTGACTAGTAAAAATGGAAAGTCATCTAAAGACAGAGAATAGCACTGTGGATGAATAGGAAGAAAATGCACAACCAAGGTCCCCATTGCTCGAGAAACTCCTTGATGTGTTACTTTCCTCCGTGTATAAAGACAGAAAAAGAGAGAGGGGGAAGAAGCGAAAAGGCCAAAAAAACCAGAGATTGATACCTTTCATGCATTTGAATCATCAAGTTTTATAATTTTATATGCATGCATGAGTCATTCCATTTGGTGAATTCCAAAAATGAGAGCGTCCCTGTACTCTGTACGACTCTTTATACGTGAACAAAAATAGTAAGAAAATGATGTGATCGATGGTGCTTAAATATTGGGGTAGGGCAGAGAAGTTGCCTGACTCTAATAGCTATATAGTTAGCCAGTCTTTGCATTTGCAGGTTGGAACTTTTGGAAGATTATAATATGGAAGAAGATTTGAGTAGTACTAGACACAAAGAGAAGGGAAAAGAAGCAAATATTGAAGATAATGAGATCCTCAAAAAGAAAATCTCTACTCATCCTTTATATGGTTTGTTGGTTGAAAATCATTTGGACTGCTTGAAGGTTCTTCTTCTTCTTCTTCTTCTTCTTCTTCTTCTTCTTCTTTACTCATTCCAAATTTTCAGGTTAGTGGAATCATCAGTGAACTAGAGGAAAACGATGGCTGCAGAGATATGAAGCAGCTTGACTACAACTGCAATGCCAATTTAGGCGTGTTTGGACAATCTGACCTCGATCACTTCATGGTGCGTAATTAATATCAATCCCTGAAGGCTATTTTATTCACATTCATTACTAATAATCTTTGTTCCTTTTCTGCATCATGTTTAAAAACTAATCAATTAATTAACTAATGCATGCACACCAAGGCCTCGCTATCGGTATCTCAGATTGGATTGGCATGGATATATAAACTACTAAATTGACGACATGTTAAAGGGAGAAATGAAATGTTATGTAGAACTAGAAGGTGAAAGATGAATTACTCATGAAAGAAACTTATCTATTCCAGACTTCCAGTGCCCCCCTAAAATGGTATAGGATTAGACGGTTGAGTTTTCTTCATGTCTAACCCTCTCCAAATGGAACATCATACTTCTCCTTCAACATACTTTGAAATTTGAGAGCTATCTATTCCAATCTTAGAGACCAAACGAGACCTAAGAGTACTACTTGTTGATATCCACCAACTCTAGCTAGCTATTAGACGTACGTCTCTTTTCCAATAAATACTGGAAGTGGTCATAAATTCAAATCTCCGTTCCCGCGCGTTGTTAGTGGTTCCAGTCAAATTAGCTAATACTCATGCATTTCACAGTTTCCTGGTTTCCTGTTATTCATGAATCATGGTAGGCCGCAGATAAAGGCTTTTCCTTCAGCAGAATATATATACGGAAGAAAGACCAATCAATATGTGGACGAAGCATATATCTATCTATGCGTGTTTATGTGTGTGTGTGTATTAGCATATTTCTTTCTATTTTGATTACGTCTGTGGGATTGACACGTGGTGGTGGTCGATGCCAGGAAGCGTATTGCTTGGCACTAGGGAAGCTGAAAGCAGCAATGGAGGAACCTCAGCAGAAGTGCATGGCTTTCATAAGTAACATGCAGCTGCAACTGGAGGAGATCACAAACAACTCCCATTTACCTGATCAACCTGCACCTGCCTCACTTTCTGGTCCGTTTGAATGATCTTTTTGAAATGTCAATAACTGCTTTGCAAAATTAATACATGAATACTAATTACTAATTAACTACTCACGTTCTGAACCTTAAAATTAATATCACAGGTGAAAGCTAGAGGTGACTGTAGCACAAGGGCCATGGGACCAAGATGAATTCTGCAGAGTTTAAAGAATGCTTTCATAACGATTACTATGAATATTGCAGAATGGTATTTGCCACTGATCATGCTGTGAGTTGTGGCATTTTCATGAACCTGTAAACATGTGTTATCTGGTCCATAGTCAAACATTAGTTATGCCTCTGCTGTAAATTGTGTTATCTGGTCCTTGCAATCTGCTTGGTTCTCTGTTAACTTAATTATTAAGGGGTCTTTTTAATTTATCTGATATTTCCAGCAGGGCGATAAAAGGAAACACAATCGTTTTCTTATTTTGCAGTCTTTGCTTCTCTTTTTTCACTTTTTTCTCTGTCCCTTGATCTGCTTCATTCAATTCAAAATCTAAAAAATAGTAAGAAGTTCACCGACAAAGAAAGAGACTGCGAAAAACAATTAGAAGTTAAACCAACTGTTTATTACGTTTGGAGGGTGATTGCCCAAATAATATTTAAGTCTTTATTTTTAAGGAAATATTTCACTTGAGGTCAATATATGTTTCCGATTTTCGGATTAAGTCAGAGTAAATTTTGGCATGTTATTTTGATATTAATCGAACAGAAAATAAAATATTGACCTATGTTTGAAAATTAAAGGGAATTTTGCACAACTATCGCCTGAACTTGAAAGTATGTGTGCAAATACCACCTAAACTTTCAATTTTGTATTTTTACCACCTGAAATTTATCAATTGTTGAAACCTACCCCCTACTGTTTTGCTATTAAAACATATCACTTGTGGGGGCATTTTCATCAATTAACTTTCTAAATTTTCTGAAATCCCTTTATACAAAGGAAACTGATAAACCAACATCCGGAGGGAGGGTCTAGTTGTTGCAGGATACAAAGGGTTTCATGGAGAGAAAGGAAAACAACTACATTTGATTTTGGCAAGGATTGTTGAAGAATTAAAGAAAAAATTGATGAAAAAACTAGTTTTACATTCCACGAAAAACATCGGATAGTCATCATTTCCCTACCACACCAATTATTTTGCCCCTTCTAAGAAGAGCAGCAACCAGAATTTTGGTTCATAGGTTGTCCCCTAATCTACACAGTTAGAGGCTTGACGTTATTCATCAATTGGCTTGCCCTATCTTATTCTAACCAGCCCTATGAAGTTAATTGACAAAGATACCCACAAGAATCATGCTTTAACGGCAAAATGGATGAAAAGTAAACGTAGGTAGTAGATTCCAACAACTAAGAGAATTTCGGTGGTAAAAAACTACAATTGAAAGTTCAGGTAGTATTGACGCATATGCTTTTAAATTCAAGTGGTACTTGCACAAAATTCCCAAAATAAAATGATTATTGACCTAGGATGGAAATATAAATTTTTTATTCACTTAAAACCGAAAATCCGATAGTTTTAATTACCTGAACCCAAAACAATGACTCAGTAAGCAACCAACCCAAGGAAGATACAGATAAAAAGAAAGCATCTTTGACGCCCATAAACGAAAGGGTGACAGAAAGCATCTTATCTTCTGCTTTGGCAGCAAATACCATGCCTCTTTACTTGTCAGCAAATATTTACTATGTTTGACTGAGATGTTCATGCAGTGCAGCTCATTTCTTCAAATATTTGAGAACATCCTTATTTCAATTGGTTCGGTTGTCCAACTCAGTTGGAAACCATGCTCTCGGTCTCTTTCACGAAGCCGTCTCCTGTCCAGTCCTTATCGGATTGCAATCCTTTTCGGATGGCTTTCCTCTGTTTGATTGCTTCCTGTTGTCTTCTCACTAAATCTGTATGTGTTGTAAAGTATTCGAGGGAAGCCCTGCAAATTCATCGAAAGACAGAAAATAATTACGAGTGCAATTCGGTTTTCACCTCGACAGAAAATTTTATTTAGATTTAACATTCGTTCTTAATAAAGTGCATACCCCCTGAAATCTTCAATGGATGAAAAATTGTGCTGTTTCATAAAATCCTGCAGCTCGGAACAAAGTTTCTTCACAACACCATATCCGTGCATCATGACCCCAGTGCATACCTGCAAATGAAACTCAATAACTTCATACGGGCTATCTTAAAAAATTAAAGCTCCACTTTTGCCAACAAAAGATCAAATTAAATGAAATCATTAAAGAAATTTACACACACACACACACACAAAAAAAAAAAAAAAAAAAAAAAAAAAAAAGAGTTCACATGAACAGAGTCCATCAGCTAGATTATATAGAATACCATGAATACCATGAGCAACCCCAAATTTTTTTTGTTTTGAGTCAATATTGAGCCTTCTAGATAACGAACAACTATTGAGAGATTTCAATCAATTTTGTACTTGCTAAAGACCTTTCCAGTGCCTTACATCAGTCACATGGTTTTGCAATCACTAATCATGGCGCGTTGCCTAAATAATATGTGCAGCACACTAAATTAAGTTTCCCGAACCGGAAGTAGTCATTAGACACTTCCTAATGTTACCAACAATGATTTTCTGAGAGAAAAAATTAAGGAGTTCTAATGAAAAACCCACGGTACTGTTCACTTTAATGAAAAACCACATTTTTATACTAAAAAGTCAAACATGGTACTATTCACTTTACCCTTTATTTTGTCTTTATCGTTAAAACTCAAAGTTTTCAAGCCCTTTTCATTAGTTTTCCTAAAAAATTATAGTTTATGTAAATTTCTAAGTCAATTATGAGATATACATTATTCATTGTGAACTCAAATTGAGAGATCCCACGATCCACTCTACAGTGCGAGTTGAATGTCCAAAGAGTCAGTCAGTCCACCTAACTACAGAAATTCGTATAATCTTAACATACAGAAACTACAACAGTTAGTTCGCAACCTACCTGAACAGTATTTGCTCCAAGAAGAATAAACTCAGCAGCATCGCCACCAGACTCAACACCCCCAATACCAGAAAGCGAGTAATCCGTATCACCAAACTCTGATTTCATTAACTTTGCAATGTTCATCACTTTTGCCAGTGCAATTGGATGAACTGCTTTAGCCGAATAGCCCCCAGGAGTTGAGTATCTGAGAGAAAATTTAAGCATGTTTTGCTGAGATGAATGACAATTCAAACCAAATAATATGAATTTCTAGTTTTGGCATGCATACCCCTCCACACAAGGCTCAGGCCGTAAGGTAGTTAGATTGATTCCCATTACACTCATGATGGTATTAATAGCTGACACGCCCTCACATCCTGAGCTCAGAGCGACTCTAGCTGGCTACAAAACAAAACGATAACGGATTTGAGCAAGATCACAATAGAACTAACCGTCCATGAAAGTGATAAACATCTCGTAACATGCACATAATAGGAAATGTAAACAAATAGGAAAAAAAATATTTAAGAAAAGAAACTACTTTTATTTAGAGCCGTTCATACTGAATTTCTCAACAAGAAGACAAGAGTCAACACATCTTTAGCAATGCAAGAGAAGGAGAAAGCAAGTTAACCTGTGTGATGTCAGTAATGTTAGGAGTCATCTTTGCCCACACAGGAACTGTGGCTTTGGCATTGATCCAGCCACAAACTTCTTCCAGAAGTGCACAGTCTTGACCAACTGCAGCTCCCATCTTGCGCTCTGGCATACCATGAGGACAGGAAAAATTGATTTCAAGAGCATCCTAAGGTAAACAAGTGTGGTGTTAGATGCAAGAGGATCCAAGATTAAAGTACAAAAGTTATAATAGAAACTTAGTTTAGTACTACATCTTACAACTCCAGTTTGCTCGACGCGGTCAATAAGTTCCTCCCAGCCAGCTTTGTTGTATTCCTCCATAATTGAAGCAATCAGAATCCTATCTGGATACTCTTGCTTTAATTGCTTGAATTCTTTCAACATAATGTCAAGAGGTCGATCACTTATCAGTTCTATGTTCTCCCACCCAATAATTTGCCCTTTGGCTGAGCCATTTCCATCTACTCGTAGCCGAGCATATCGAGGAGTGACATTTTTTACTTTGTCTGCCTCTAGTGATACCTATCGAAACATAAATTAAGATTGAATTCAAAAATTGCAACGTAAAGAGGAAACCATATGCACGCACTGGCACACACAGAGTGTACTAAATACCTTAACAGAATATTATGAGTTATTATCTTGTAAGATTCCTTCTTGGCAAGATACCCAGTCCACTGGTGCAAAGATCATTTTTTTTTTCATACAAACAGGCTAAAAAAATTCGCAGATTCGTCCAATTTACTATCATCAAGTTTGGTTTTTGCTCTTTAAAACTAAGATTACGTAAATGAATTTAACTATGTCAGAGATTGGCATTGGCATTGTAGATGCCGGAAATCAGAAAACCGCAACTAAAAATAATTGGGGTAGAGAATGACCGGCCAAGATGCCCCTAATGTGGCAACTACTGCAAACCAACTTGTTGATCTCCAGCAGGGTTTGTCACATATGCATCAAAGACTCGAAATTCAGCTATGGAAATGACCATATAGTTCGTTTAAAGGAATAAAAAAAAAAGTTAGATGATCAGCAAATGGGCTTTCACTTTCAACAATTTAGCCACAAAAATCACTAAATATGAAGACTTTTTGGCCGAATACATCTACTAACGGGACAATTGGCATTTCTATACAACATTATTATCAAATCATTTAAGCTTTTAGCTAAAATAGCACCAACTAGACAAAATCAAAGATATCAAACACATATAATGATCCAAGTTTCATTCTTTACTTCATCATACTACCACCCAATATCTCTGCTCAACATCATTCCAAATTTTCTTTCCCTGGACTTTCTCAGTAACCAAACAGCTGAATTATGCCAATCAAACAGCCCAACCTCACAAATTCACAATCTTTTCATCCAAATCAAACTCGGGATTTAAACGAGAGAGAAAGAGAGCAACAAGACATACAGTTTTGGCAATCACAGCACCCCAGCCTTCATCAAAGGCCCTCTTCATCACCGTATAGTTAGTCCCTGGCGGACCCGACCCGATAACAAATGGGTTGGGCATGTGCAACCCGTTAACAGTAACACTAAGATCAGGCTCCGCCTTGCTCTCGGAGGCAAACACCCTGAACCCTACTCGGCTTGGCCGAGTTAAACGCACCTCAGGACGAGGTCTCCTGGAAAATTCAGCAACTGGGTTTTTGCCTCCGATCTGAGTAAAGCTGATAGACGCCATGGATCAAGAATTTGGGTCACTCTTCGGCAAGTAATTCTCCAGAAAAACTAGAAGGAGCAGAGGAAGAAGAAGATGATGATGAGGATCAAGATCGAATCC